ATGATGTCATATCATGTGATGCCACGTTATGTAATGCGATGTCATGTCATACGATGTCATATCGTGTGCTGTCAAGTCATGTGATGTCATACTATATAATGTTATGTCATATCATATGATGTCATGTCACGTGATATCGTGTGATGTGATATCATATTATGTGATGTAATATAATGTGATGTCTTATCATATCATGTGATATAATGTGATGTGATCGCATTCCATGTTCCGATTATTAAATCGGTAACCCTGTCGATAACTGTTGCAATAAAAATACCGATAACAATATCCATCAACATATAGAAAAATACAACGATTACAAAATCGATTTATTCATCGATATATAACAATCATCATATCGATAACAATATAAATGAATAAAAAGATAACAAAATCAACTATTTAATCGATTATCATACCGATAACAATATCCATTATTGTATCGATAACAATATCGATTATTATATTGGTTATTATATCGATCACAATAGCGGGTATTTAATCAATAAAAGTATCGATAACAATATCGATTATTTTATCGATAGCAATATCGAGTTTTATATCGATAACAATATCGATCTACATCCTCATCCTTTTCTTCATATTTATCTTTATTTTTGCATATTCCTCTTCAGCTTTACCTTAAAGTGTTTAAATTTACTTTGATCTTCGTTTTTGCCTGTACCTCTAGGCATCTTTGTTTTTGTTGTTATTCTCAAACCGCTAAACCGCTGAGAACTACTTCCATGTGCATTATTCCCATTGAATTTGACAATTTACTCCCAGCCAACCAACTGCCGCTAAAGAAGTTTCACTTCATAAATTCAAGAAATGTTCTTACCCTTTCAGTTACCCTAATTCTTATGTATCTGTCATTGTCTTCATTTTCGTCTTTATCTTCTTTTTTGCCTTCTTTTTTTTTACTTGGTCGTTATCATTTATTTCTTCATCTTCATATTTATCTTTATTTCAAAGCTTAATTTCAAATGTGTAGTGAAACAACAGGCGAAACATGTCAAATTGAACATATTGCAGCAACATGTATACACAATTCGAAAATGTTTAGACGACAGTTTTGGCCGTAATTTTCAATCAATTGTAAAACCATAAAAACTCTGCTCATCTACGGAAAAATGCCTTTCCAACGGTGCTCTTGGTTTTGAAATCGGTTCGGTAGAATCGCCAAACGAACGGAGACAAAATTTATGTTAGCGTATTAATATATAGATATGCAAAAGAAAACACTTTAGTTAAGCAAAAGTTAATACTTTAGTTAATGTTTGAGTGAACTAAAATAAAAATAATAGTTTTCGTTAAAATAAATTCAATTCATTAACGTTGTACATTTCAGTCTTTCCTTTTTAAAATTTTATAAAAGTAATAATTAATGTTTAAATTTGAGATTTGGATAAGAATACAATAAATAAATTATTCAAGCAGTTATTAGACATTCTTAATTCTTATCTATAGTTTGCCTTGATGATTAATAATAGAAATGAATCAAATAATTATAATCGTGCAATTAAAACAAGTCAAAAATAATTGAAAATGATCAAAAATGACAAAATAATGATGTGATTAAAATTAATGAATTAATTAAAATTTTTTTTAAGTAATTAATTATTAACCATTAAAAAGGTGGTATATCGGCATTTAATCATTAAACGGTTATCCAAAAAACATGCTTTAATTAATACTCATTATGAATATTAATCATTATTTACTCGCATTAATGGTTTACAATATACGCAAATAAAAGTTATAATATTTTATGTACTTTATTGTATTAAATTGTCGAATAAACTAGTCAAATAAAACGCGGCATGAATAAATCGTTTTGTACTTGGTACAAGTCTGGGCTCGAATCGTCACATACGATATCGTATTACTCGTCACGTAAAAACACAGTTATCCCATTCAGCTTATACGACTGACGATATCACGTAATTTGCTTTCGTATGGTTATCGATCCGTGAACGGATGTTACGATTCGAGCCCTGGTCATTTTCGAACTAGTTCGGTTTCAGTCAGGAAATTCTAGTTGTAAACTAATAGTTTGGGGTTTCACTGCAGGGAAATTCATAACACTAGTGGCAGAAATAAAAGAAGCGCCTTATTTTAATTTACCGAGTTTACCAAGATTAATATTTTTCAATGATATTCAAGCATCTGTCTACCTGGCTCATGACAGGGACGCCCCACACGACGAACTGGAACAATTTATCGCCCAAAATCAGAGGGAACAAATTCTGATAGGATGCGACGCAAATGCGAGACACACTATCTGGGGGAGTTCCACGATAAACATCAGAGGTGAGTCTCTCTTACACTTTATATTAAATACCTGCCTGAGTATATGCAATAAAGGAGAGAGTCCGACCTTTATATTTCCCAGCTCCGAAATATTTGCGGGATGGGAAGAGGTACTGGACTTAACCCTAGCAATAGATGGTATTGTCGTCGATGACTGGAGAGTATCCAGTGAAACATCGATGTCGGATCATTGTTGGATACTCTTCAGCATTTGCGGAAAGCCCACTACCTCTTCCCTATTTCGGAATCCGAGAAGAACAATATGGCCAAAATTTATCAGGCTAACGTCAGGTAACCTAGACAGTAGTAAATCAAAGGAGATTACAACTGCTGTAGAACTAGACAACACAGTAGATAAGCTGGAAAGAACTCTAGCCATAGCTTTGAAAAAATCCACACCAGAAAGCGTCCTTAAGAAAAAAATCCCCTCCATGGTGGACGGGGGAGCTTAGGGAGCACAGGTCAAATCTCAGAAAAATCTTTAACGACAGCTACAAAACAAAACTGTGGTAGCCATACAAAGATGAATTAAGGCAGTACAAAAAATTAAGTTCGCTATAAATAAATTCTCCCCATACAAATCCCCTGGCCCAGATGGCATCATTCCGATAATGCTCCAGAAATTACTGGAGCCTATGGTATCCTGGCTGGAAAGGGTCTACAAAGCCAGTATCAGCATGACATACATTCCGAAAAGCTGGAAAAGAATCAAAATTGTCTTCATTCCCAAACCGGGAAGAAGAAATCACGAAAAAGCAAAAGACTTCCGACTAATATTTAAGTCTTACATCTTTTGCTGCTAAAGGTACTGGAAAGACTTTTAGACCTACATATTAGGCTTTTTCTGGGAAATTCCAAACTTTCCAAAGCTCAACATGCATACATTAAGGGCAGGTCAACTGAAACTGCCCTTCATGAAGTCCCGGGCACCATAGAAAAATCACTCCATTACAAGCAGTACACTTTGGAGGCATTCCGCGACATAGAGGGGGCCTTCAATAACATAACAGTCGAAGCAATTGTACGATCTCTTGTGAAGGTGGGAATATCTGACCACATATGCGAGTGGATCGAACAAATGCTCAGAAACAGAGTCATAATTTCAACCATTGGTTCAGTAACGCTGTCCCGTTATGCAAATAGAGGCACTCCGCAAGGGGGAGTTCTGTCTCCGCTACTATGGGTGGTGGTACTGAACGACATTCTACTGGATCTCAACAAAGGTGGAGTGAAAGTAGTAGCATATGCAGATGATGTAGTGGTGGCGGTATCAGGTCTCTTTCCCTCAACGATTAGTGAAATTCTAGAGGGAGCTTTGCTCCGGCTAAACACCTGGGCTACAAAAAGTGGACTGGCTGTCAACCCTAGCAAGACGGAATTGATGCTGTTCACCAATAAAATAAAAATACCACTATTCAGGCTTCCCTCCCTTAATGGAACGTCTCTCACATTGTCCTCCGAGACTAAATACTTCGGTGTCGTATTAGATACCAAGCTGAGCTGGAAGACAAATATAGAGAGGAGGGTTGAGAGAGCCTACACAGCTTAGTATACATGAAAAAGAATATTCAGTAGGAACTGGGGATTGAAGCCAAAGCTTATCCTCTGGATGTACACGGCTATCATACGACCAATACTAACGAATGCGGCGTTAGTTTGGTGGCCAGCACTAGATAAACAATACAATGTCAGGAAATTAGGCAGTATACAAACAGCAGCTTGTGAAGGTGCTATAGGGGCAATTGAGTCGTGTCCATCTGATGCGCTTAATGTAATCCTGCATCAACTACCCATAGAACTCCATATCCGCGAAACTGCTGCGTCTGCGGCAGTCAGACTGAAAGAGTCAAGCTGCTGGAGGGCGCTGCAGCACGACCATAGTGGTATTCTTGACAAGCTTATCTAGTCAGGGAAACAATAAGATTATATACCTCCTACGACAGATTTCAGGAAAAGCTTTGAGGTGAAGTTTCCTTCAAGACGGGATTGGAGTAGGGGCAGGATAGTCGAGGAGAATTCCACTGAAATCTATACTGACGGGTCCAAAATGGACTGCGGTGTGGGTGCGGGGGTGTTCTCTGAAGCGCTGAATGTCTCTCTTTCTCGTTTCGACTACCTGACTTTGCTAGCATCTTCCAAGCGGAAGTACTGGGCATCGAAAGGGCCTGTAAGGCACTAGAGAGGAACTGCGTAGGTGTTCGAAAAGCATATATTTTTTCGGATAGCCAAGCGGCACTTCTGGCACTTGCCTCACCGCACAGTGGGAGAAATGGTCAATCTAGCGGCGCTTTCTTAATAGCTTCTTAAATACAATGAAAAAATGCATTACTTTATTCTAAAAATATGTGTTAATTATTTATTTATATGTTTTTATGTTTTATTAGAAAAAAAAAACTATTCAGAGTCGGAGCTCCCAGAATTACTGCCGTCAGGTAGATCATTTATATGTAAAAGAAGGTTTTTGACCTCATCATCTATTTCAATGTGATTTTTGGAGTACTTGGATGTGCTTTTAGACTTAGATGTAATAATAGGATCTGAAGAAACTAAAAGAGTGTGTATTAAGTCTTCCATTGTATTCAACCTTGAGTTTTTTCGCGTATGGTTCCGTCTATAACTGCGAAAATCTTTATTTCTTGCCTCAAGTGCCTCTTCTGACATCATTCCTGTTGGTAGCGAAACTTTTTCAATAATATCTGCTCCGTGTATTAATATTTTATGTACAGATGGAGGCATATAAAACCAAGGATATTCGGAAACAAATAATTCTGCTGTATTCCAAGCATATATGCGAAAAGCCTCTATGTTAACTGCATACCCACATGCCATAGTATGCAAAATTTTACCAAACCTTTTTATAAGTTCTACTTTTACGCCAGTTACTGTAGAGGCTAAAATTGGATGCTGGAAAAATATTCTTGCAGTATTCCCAGTGTTTGTATTGCCTGATCCTTTCGTGGGAATGTCCACCAATATACCCATTTTTTCTTCTAGCTCAAGTTGAATCTTTCTTTTGGTTTGCTGAGCGATTTCTTTATGTTCTCCACGAATTTGCCAATTTTGTATGGGTATTCTATAGGCGATATGAATTATACACTCAAAGCACCGTATCCACGCATGGAGTGTTGACAATCCGTACTCATACAAGTGCTCCTGTGGTTGTCTCAATTGAACATTATTTAGATTATTCATGAATTTTGGTGTTGCTCCACAAATTCCACAGGCCTGCGATGATGAGCCCGCTAAAGTGTTAAAAACTTTCCCATCAATCATTGTTAAATGGAATTCATGTACTACTTCGAAAAAACTCAACTTTGTCGGA